ATGCTTTTATAAAGGCAACAGCACTCTTTATTTCCGCTGAAGGAAGGAGAAACCCTCTCCCCCTCGCGCCTTGTCAGAGCTCCAGGCCGATTCCCGTCCGCGCTGCCGCGACCCGACGGCTCCGGCCGCGAGCGGCGCCGTCCAGCCCTCCTGCAGACACAAACCAGCTCCGTAGGGACACGAGCCACGTGGCTCCCAACGCGCACGCTGCAGAGATACCTGCCCTAGTGCACACCAAAGAAGTTTGGCTGTTTTACGTAAAAATGGATTACGGGTTTAAAACTGCGTTCCAGAGGTTACCAACCATCTCACTGGTGGTGATCATTGCTATTTTAGAGTGATTTGACACTGGTTAACAGTTGGTCACGCAGAACTGCCCTGTTTTGCCCACGTAACAAGTGCAGGATGAGATAGCGGTATTAGACCACATGTACCATAGGTTCTTTACACTTCTGCCAGCTAGGATTAAAAATATTGCTCACGTTTGGCTGAAGTAAGGCTTTCCTGTGGATGTACATCGTGTAATTGCGGAGTGCACTTTAGAGTCACAACATAAATACTGTAAACACTGACAGAAGTGCAGACAAAACACTTGCAAATATACAGTCTGACTAAAGACCTGAGGAAAGCTGGTTAAAATATACTTTTGAATTGTTACCCTTTTTTAATGAGTGTACTCTTATTGGCTTAAAATCAATAAAAAGATTCAGATAAAAAAATATATGTATTCACATGAAGGATGAACATTTGAATTTTAAAAAGCAATACACACATTTCCCTTTCAGATGACAATTATTAAAACTTATTTCCCAATAAGTGTACATTAAAATTCCACCTGATTTTTTTGAGTTTAGCACCCACACGCAGGCACGCACGCATGCACAAACGCACACACAGCATCAGCTCAAGAAGCACCTGTACCTACCGGTTATTTTCTTGCTGCCCTCTGACTAGGTGAACTAGCTGGTTTTGAATCACTACAGAAACTGCTACCTTAAGAGACAGATGGTCCCGTTTCAGGATCTAAAACGTTACTGGCTTGTTTTGTCCTTTTTCAGAAAGCACTAGTTTAATCTTGAGCTTGGATTAGCTGTTCAAGTATAAAATTATCCCTCTTAAGCATAAGCATGTGATAAAATCTTGGTAAGTAGAGAAGAAATATCCTTAGTTGTGTATAAACAAACCTAAAAGAAAACATCTGTCAGCACGATACACTGTCAGCATGAAAGGCTATGTATGAATGTATGTATGTGTGTGTGTGTGTACATATATAGGTAGGTAGATATCCCTCCAGGTAAGAGAAGCACAGTCAATGGCTTTGAATTATTCAGAAATGACTAAGCAGTGACTATTTCTTTGGTAAGTAATGAAGAAGCTTCCCCCAGACTCCCCATAGATCATGTTCTCAGGCTCGACGGCAGTCCTACATCCTGATGCTAAGCAAATTTCCATCTGCTCTTCCATAACGTGTTGATGTCAAACCCTGCTTCCCAAGGGAAGAGTGCCTGGCCGGCGAGCCAAGCGCAGGTCCCCGTGTTCCCGAACTCCCCTCAGTTCAAGGAGTCCTTTTTCGTGGATCACACTGCAGCCCACAAACCGAGAGGCTCGGACCCTCGTCTCATGCTAACGATGACGATCAAGAAGGCAGGTGAAATGTTTACTTCAGTGATCCAGGAGTAGTCCTCAGGCTGATAGCTACAAAAGCTTTCAGTTCCACGCAGCTTTGGTCATCCTCGCTCCGGGAGATCCCCGCGGAGTTATTTTTCCAGCAGGGAGAGCTGCAGGACTTGCTGGAGCTCCGCGTCCTCCTCCTCGCGCCGCCGCCGCTCGCGCTCCTCCTGCTCGCGCACCGACAGCTCCATGGCCAGCTGCAGGTCCTGCTCGAAGCTGGAGGGCTCCCCGGGCGAGCTGCCGCGCGACGGCCCCGCGCTGCCCAGGAAACTCTCCTGCAGCGCCCTGCGAACGAAAGCGGCGTCAGCAGCGGAGGCGGCGCCGCGGGCTCCTCCTGCGGCGATCCTCCCTTCCGCCTGCTCCCACACGGGAAGCCCTTTCCTGCAGGGAACGCAGCCGTTCTCAAGGTGGGAGAGCAAGGGCTTGCAATGGCCACGAAGTTCTCAGGATAAAACTGTTCTGATTCCGTTTGAAGATTCCTCAGAATATTTCATACCCAGTAAATCCCTAACAGCTCTGTTTTCAGGGGGCTTCGAAGAGGATTCTCACCTTGTTTAAAGGTGCCATCACTCCCAAGTACAAAAAGCAGGACACAGTTAATAGTGAGCACAAACATTTCTTTGTGCTTAGCTACAGGGCGACCCCCCCAGGATATTTCTCAAGGGTCCGTTAAACACGTTGCCAATTTTGTACCGATTACATAATGATTTTGAAATTAAATAAGAGCTACCCTGAAGTGTTCAGTACCTAATAAATATTAAACTTACAGGGACCAAAGCCACAGTTCTCAATTGTGCTTATTTTGTTGAGCAAACAATCTCAGCTATGTGTCTTCCACTCCTACAGCTCAGCAAAAGGATCATGTTATATAAACCAGAGAGGCCTAATCTGAGGTTCTTATTTCTTGAAACAATAAAAACCTATAAGAACAACAGGAAAAGAGCCTCAAGTTCTGTGCATCTATACCTGAACAGACATTTTTTTAAAAAAAAGCAAGATTCATTCATGCTACTGTTGGAAATAGTTTTGCTTTATCACAGCATGGCTTGATATGGAAGCAAAAAGTGTTACCTCTGATACTGTAAGTTGAAGTCCTGTGAATATGCGATCGCTCCATTGGAGTGCAGTCCCATTTCCTAGAAACACAGAGAGGGGAAAGAGCCCACAGCAGTTAGCAGACCTGCAATCCAACTCCAAGACAGAGTGACTTAAGAGTTTCCCTTCGCTTTTTTTTTTCTTCTCCTTTTCTCCTTTTTTTAAATTTATGACTGTATTTTTTCCTCCTTGGAGGTAGCTAATAAAAGTAGGTCCTACGGAACTTTTTCCACACACTGGTGCAATTTAGAGGTGCAACCACCTCTCTGTAGACCCTGCAAAACCATTAAAGTGAATTGCAGACACTTACTTTACTTCCACTGGATTCCAACAAACTCTGCTGAATAGCAAATTGCATAATCTCATTATCTTCATCCTGCACGTGTATGTTCCTACCATCATCTTGGACGTGGTAGGATTTAGGGATCTCGAACACTGACTGGTCAACCTCAAAAGTAGCACCTGGAGAAGCCAAACACAGTTACAAACATGGCATAGTGTATTTTTACAATTAAAAAAAAATCTGATGGATGTTTAAACTCAATTAAATTAACCCAGAGGCTCTGAAAGACTTACATGGCAACCAAGCACAGCAGTAGGAAAGAACACACAGAGGAGGTGACGCAGCCACTGCCTCTTCCCAGCTCTTACCTGACGAGTCGCTCTGGGCACCTCCACTGATCTGTGATGCTGGTTTGTCAGCTGTCCTGCAGCCATTAACATTTTCAAACGTAATTCGGGCATTCAGCACGTGAAATAAGGGAATCTCTATAGGAAAGAGGACAAGATTTCTATAAAAAAGGGGAAGTCTGTCACTCACTTCCACACTCGCAGCTGCTTCAAACCCATATGGTTTACTGAGTATTTTATAAACACCATCCCATAACCAGGAAGCAAAACGTAACCCACGTCAAGAAGTTGCACATGGTCAATCTTGCTCTATTTCTAAGTCTTCTCAGATTTTAATGTAAGTTTTTAATGATCTAAGACACTGGAGACAGAAGAAAAAGATTAGCAAAGAGCTAGCTGTAACTGAAATGATATTATCTTTAAAATTGCATTACCCTGCTGGCCCTTCAGAGTTAGCATATAAGGATCCCCAGACATACACACAGATTATATCTCCTGTGCTTGGGTCTCACTTGGAGAGATAGTTAAGATGACGTTTGCAAAAAGCTTGAAAATTGAAAAAAAGAGGCTAACAAACTAATGTGTTGCAAGCACCAGTAGAATGGAAATGAAGATGCTAAAATAAAAAATACTGAACATTACCAATTTTGACAGGAAATCCTGGGGGAAATTCCAAAGTGATGAAATCCTTAAGTCTGGCAAAATGAGCACTAGTTCTGGCCATCAGATCAATGATTGGAGTAACTTGTTCCATGAGAGACAAGGGGAACTCTTCACTCATCCACAAGGTTGCTTTAAACCTGTAAGATCAAGTTGCATAAAAGCATCCTAACTTGACAGTTTTGGAAGAGGCACAAAGTGAGATACCTGACATTGTCCCCTGCTTCATACAGCTCAAGGGACAGAAGAGTTATTGCACTGAGAAACCGAACTGCCATCTGGTCAGTTTAAAGACAAGGTACAAGAAGCTATACCTTGCAATAATAAATAATACCTTACAAGAGGTAAGGACAGGATTTGTGGAAGTTACAGCACCACTCCACCTGCTTTCATTTGCCCAGGAGAAGAATTAGAAGATGGCTGAATAGCTCAAGATAACTCTTCTGATTTTTGTTTTTTTTTATAAAAGGGAGCAAGGAGAATTTCATCAGGCATTTGGACAAAATTGTATTCTAAATATTAGATGAAGAAAGAAATTTCAAAAGAAATTTGAGACACACAAAAACTGGAAGCAGTTAAAAGCATTTCTCACTTCTGTGTTCTAATGGTGACTTCTTTGGGTCTTCCTATGTCCCTCTCTTTCAAGTCAAACTCTGGGTCAAAATACTCCTCCAGAGTAATAGCAGTAGGATTGTTAATTGTGGCATACTCTGTTGTTAGATCCTATAAGGTAAAAAGAAAAAAAAAGTACAGAATGAATAGGCAGTGACTACTATAAGAAATTGTTTCCTCTTCTGAAAGAGCTCCTCTAGTTTAGCCATCAGTGATATGTAGACACACACACACACGATTTAAGTCTGACTTAACAAGTACTTTCCACGGCAGTTAAAAATCTCCAAGCATTTTAGGGGCAACAGAATCTACCTAAAAGCCACCTTATGGTGTGCCAATTAAATACCTCAAAGGTAGGAAGTGTTCAGAAACACACACACAAGCTACAACACTTCCAGCTCCCAACCCTTTTTGAAAGGCAAACTCTGAGGGGGTATTTTTAACCCAAAGCTCTAGATCCAAGTTAACATCTCCACTGATATCTTGATACAAAGCCAGATGTTTGCAAGCCTTCTCTGCTGTATGTAACACAGGGGTTCAAGGCAGTCTTTGCTGAAGCAACATTGCAATCATATTGCAATCATCTGCAACACGCATTTCACAGCCATTGAGGACAGAACCTTTCTGGGTTGCTGGAGAGCAGCCTGCTCCTGTGCCATTTCTCTGCTGGTCACTACACCCACCCATCTCCCAGCCAAGGCTCCTGGGGGCTGAGGCTCTTTGTCTGTGGATATTTCTGCTCAAATTGTATCTGGATGCCACCAAGAACTGCGCTTGTTCAGATTTACCACCACTGCTAAGGCCCAGCTCTCGCTTTGCTAATGCATTCTATGCCCTTCTCTGGGGAACCAAGCAACTGCTACCCAGAAAGGAAGAGTACAGGGTTAAAACCAAGCGAAAATCTCCTCAGGGAGAATTTAAGCCTCAGTACAGAAATTGCTGAACTGCAGAAACAGCTCAAACACACATCTTCTATGCACACAGATGTCTACACTGCAGTGACCCGTGATGAGAACGGCAAAGACACTCACCTGAGCACCATACTCATGCTCCACTGTACCCAGAAAGGATTCCAGGGGATTCCTGTCAGCTTCGGACAAACAGGAGAAAAAGACATGTTATCTATTATTATTGAGCAGCCCTAAAATTCATGTGCACATGAGTTAACAAGCAAGGCTGCTAACCCAAAGTAAAGGAGACAGTTCAACATTTAGGGGAAAGCCCAGCTTTCCCATAAGCTTTGGCAGAAAAGCCCAGGACCAAAAGGTGACTGAATAAAAGAGATACAAGAAACAGAACAGGAAAGGGTCTGCAGTTGTTTCTATAATAAAATAACTCTAGTTTTTCACAGTCCTCCTTCCTGGGCCCCAAGGTAAATCAATGAAAGGCAGGTTACCATGCAAGGTTACTGCCTCATGTGCTTTTTACTCCAATTTAAATACTATAAAAAATTAGGGAACTAAAGCCAAACAAAAAGCCCAAACAAAGAAAACCCACATGAATCTTGTGGTCATGGCTAAAATGAAGTAAAGGCACAAAAACATCCGAAAACAGACGCTGAAAAACATGGAAAAATGTGCAGACTTTTAAAGCTTTCAATTGCTTTGAAGGTTTTTTTTCCCCTCATCCAGATGCAGCTAGGATAAATAGTGGCCCTTACATATGATAGGAGTTAGGTAATGAGCCACTTCAGTCCCAAAATGTGAATCTAAAGCAGGGCAAGATCAGCGAGCAGAGTGTTCCCCTTGATCAGCCTGCAGCTACACAGAGAAGGCATAGAGGGGTTCTACTTCATCCCATCTACCCTCTAGGAAAGTTACCTTTATATCTTTTCTTCTCCTCTTCTGTTAAATGTTCCGTTCGGATTCGTGTGACTACGTTCACATTGTTTGCAGTGTACACCTAAAGCAAGAGGAAAAAAGAAAAGGCACAACACAGGCTAAGACAGCCTTCTCTTTAGAGAAGATCACGAACACGCATCTAAAGGCAGGATCAAGAAGAGTTTATCTCCTTCTTATGACAAATATCTCAAACACAGAGTTGATCAGCAAGAAACACTGCCCTTTTCACACGGGAAACGCCATGTGCTGTTTATACAGCCCCGTGCAGAGGTGACACTGCACAGCCACCTGCTGGCAAACGGATCAAACCAGAAAACTGCAATCACGTGGCCAAGTATCTCCAGATAACAGTAATTTTTCAAGCATCCTACACCAAGGAAAAAGCAAAAGGAGTTGGGCCATTGATTTCAATGGCAACAGAATTTAGCTTCTCAGTTTGCTGGGAAGTAAATTTATGCACTTTTAAATAGATTTTTGTTTTCCTTCAATCCAAACCAACTTAAGAACCAGACAAGCATTTCCTTTCTTGCTGAAAAGACTCCTCACCTAGGCAGATTTTACAGGAGAGACTGGGGAAGAAGAGTCAGACTATGTCATTTCTAAACAAAAGGTCTTCCAAATCTCCTGGGGAGTTCAGTTATACAGGAACACGAAAGATGCCCCGTGTCCAACTGAACAGTCCCACAGTCTAATGAGAAAAGCCTTCATACAAATCAGTGAAGCTGTTCAGCACTACCTTTACTGTGAAACAAAACTAAAATAAAGAAAGTGCTGAATTCTTGAAGTTTCTCACTCCTGCCCAGTTCTGCTGGCAAAATGAGAAAGCTCCAAGGGGAAAGTTTAGAACCAAAGATACTCGGGGAATAAAGGCATAACATGATCACACTGCAGTTAGCTGTGAGACTTCTTAGTTGTACAGAAGAGATTTTACCTTTGCTTCGTAACCATTCACACCTTCTGCCTTCTCCGTCCTCCATACCCAGAATCCAGATGTGGTTCTGACAAAAAATGAACACCACAAGTGTCTGTGCAGTTGCATTTCTACACAGCCCCCAGCCCATTTGCTCTAAAAAGCTTTGAGCAAACAATAACTTATTTGATTAGCAACGCCAGACAAAAGCACAAGACAATCTCTCCCCAGACACACGTGCCAAGAGGAGGCTGAGAAGACCCTGCTCCTCCTGTTCTTATTCAGTTTATGGCCAAAGCAAAGAGGTTCACAGAGATTTTAGGTCGGGAGTTAGAAGCCTGAGCCACAGCAGAGGAGAAACTAAAACTTACTGAATTATTTTGTCTAACAGCCATGATTTTGTAGTCTATTTCTCATGATAAACTTTGTATCTTACCTCTCAAAAGCAATATTTTTGGTATCAAGGCACGTATTAATAATCGGAGACGTAAGGCGTCTTTCCACATCTTTTCTTTTCGGTGTCATAGATCCCAAAGTCAAACGCTTCATGTGTTGGGAAATCTCAAAACGTTCCGTTGTAACAAATTTATCATCATGATTGATCTCAATTAGCTCTGCCCAGCCACCAGTATCTGTTAGAACAATACATCTCATCATCTGTAAACTTGCCAAGAGTATTTGAGAAGGAAAAAGTGAACAGGGTATATACACTCCATATGAAAATGAGGCTGGAAGTTAATTCATTGTATTTTATAGTTATATTGGATAGTTTTTAGATACATCTCCGAATCAGGTTATAGGTTCTTTCTTTGGATTTTGGAGGAGGGCAGAAGGGAAGGGGAAATGGTAGCCTTACTCCCATATTTTGTCCCCAAAAGGCAAAGAAATCAAGCTCTTACGTTAAGCTCCCAAATACTGACACTACAGATCATGAAAGATGCACAGAAAGCTTTTGTTGAATATACACATCCTCAACAGGTCTTTTCAAGTAGAACTGGCATTTCTCTTTGTGGCTTACAATGCATTTGGTGATCAATGATTCAGACGTGCTAAAATATTTACCTTCTCCCTTGAAAATTAAACTACGTCTTCCTCTCTCCCAGCTCATATTTTCAAAGCCCAATAACGTGATATCCACCCGGAGCTTGGAACCACTCTTCCAGATGCGGCACACATCGCTTGGACACACTCTAGAAACAAGTGGGACTATAAAAGAGAAGTATAAAAAATTTTGAGACTAAGTGCACAGGAAGCCTGAACTCAATCAAAAGCTATATTCCTAATACAGGAATTGCTTAATGAAGTACTCCAATCATTGCTCCAAAAGAGGCAAGGCTGGTCCTCTTTACCCTTAAGGACGAGGAACTTAAAGAATTAAGAAACAATGCTATTAATTTAAAGAAAAACCTTCAGCAGCTGACAACAGCTGCGGTTTCCATTAAAAGAACATTTTGTACAATCGAAAGATAAGCTAAATAAAGTTCTGAATATTGAGAGTAAAGATAAATACTAGGGGCAAGCAAGGAAGATTCCAGCAACCATATCTCTCTGCACATCTTTTGTCACAGAGAAATCTGTCTACCATTTAGAAGAGGTGACATTGATCAAGGTACTTACCCCAGCTAGTAAATTCCCATTTCATTTCCACATAAAAGTCAGGAGTCTGGGAGAAAACAATTAGTTTTAATCATAGCAAACCTTGAGACATGAACCTTAAAACAATGAAATTGAAACCAAGAGATAAAAAGACATTGGTCTAGCACAGCTGCTTTGTACTGAACTATTCTTCACTTTTTCCCCCTCCCGCTATAAAAGCAATAAGTAACAGCTTCAAGATTCAGCCTCTAATGCTGGAGTTCATAACCAACCATTCCCAAATAGCGAAGGAAAATAACTCTGACTATTGGGCATACCAACTGAAGAACAAAAATCACACAAATTCAGATCAGCTGGGTTCTAATCTCTGCTCATCTGGTTTCCGTTTATTTAAGCTAACTACTTTGCACTTCTTGTTCCAGTCTGTAATTCTGATTCAACTAAATAACCACCTCGTTAATCTTTTGGAGTAACTCAGGAACTCCTCCAAGCGTCATAGATGTTTGCTGGTAGTCCCGATGCTGCAAAATCATATGTACCATCTCTGGATCTCCTGTACTGACAGCCTCATGTAAAACTGAAAGAAATCAAGACACAAGCTGGTTTCAGTTTGCTTTTCAAACAAAACATACTATATATATATATATATATATATATATTAAACAAAGCATTCAAAAATACAACATTTACAACTGAAAAAATGTTAACATACAGCTTCTTCCAAGCTCTCTTTACCTGTCCATCCCTGTGCATTTTCTTTGGTTACATCTGCCTTGTGTTGAAGAAGCACTTTGGCAGACTCTATATAACCCAAGGAAACAGCAAGGTGCAACAAGGTCCGGCCTCGTGGATCACGTTGATCAACATCCTGCTGAGTATCCAAGACAGAAATGAAACTACAGTTGTTCTATCAAATGCAATTAACTGGAATGCACTGAGGAGAGGTCACTGAAACAAAGCTTGACAGCAATAACCTAAAAGGAGTCAGTACTCCCATATATCAGTTTGTGACACCTAGTCAGCTCAGCTTTCATTAAGGCTGCTGCATAGCCCTCCTGCACTCCCTACTGCCCTCCTGAAATAAAAGTGAAGCAGAACAGGGCCCAAAAGTCTAACAGGATGAGAACTGGTATCACCGTAAAACGTTACACAAAGGGAAATGAGAAGCATCAAGAGCTCAGACATTATTTTCCCTTCTGCCTCCCTCCAGAAACTGCCTCATTTGAAAGACAGGAGTTTTATTCTTTGGGCTTTGCACCACGACAGTCAACAGCCTGAGAGACCACCAGAGGGTAGAACTGTATGATAGGACACGTTAAAATCAAGAGGGAAAAAAAGAAAAGAAAATAAGACAGAGCAACAGGCCATACAACTCTCACTTTGTATATGGAAGTAAATGGTAATTTACAAAGCATCTGTTTAACTGACACACACAGCACAACGAGGAGTGAGTGCATTATACAAGCCATAAAAAAAGGAAAAAAAAAGAAAAAAATAACTACACAGGCGTAAATATCCAAAACATGCAAGCACAACATACTCATACCTTACATATTTTTCACTATTAGCTTAGAGATTTGAAACAGAAGAGCATCTATAACTAAAGGAAAAGGGGAAAGTCAATAGCAGAATAAGAAAGGAAAGTTATTATGGTTATCAGACAGCATCAGGTTTGCAAGATCATACACGCAGTCAGGAAAGCTTCATTGAGAGCATTCTCTTTTCACTTCTGTGGTCAAATAGTCATTAATTTATTTCCCCACTTCCTACAGCTCCAATGTCTACCACACCGACAGGTAATGCACTCTTAAAAGAATAAATCCTTCCCGATTTTCTCTGCTGCTGTTACAGGTAATGCACATTCTGCTCACCACCGGCACAGCAAGCGCAGCTGCCTGCTTCTTTGATTCTGTCCCCCGCCTCTTCAAAAGCAAGAAGCTTATCCCAAGGAAGCAGGAGGCAGCGTTATCTTTGGAATACTTTTAAATAACTTGTCTTTTATATATATATATAAACAGATAAAGGAAATGAGGCATTTTATAATGTTGCTCATTTCCTTAGTGTGCAACTTTTTGAGGAAGAAGTAGCACTTCACAGAAGTGGGTGCTAACCAAACCATGGCCTTAGACTAAGAAAAGGCAAAATTATCCCTTTTTAATCAGTTTTTCAAGGATGAGAACATTACCGAAATAGAAATAAGTACAAGAAACAGCGCGTCATTAAAATTAGGGATTTTAAGCGGGGCCTCAGATTACACGAGTTTGCAAACTAGCAGCTGCATTCCAAAGATCCCCCCGCAGGGAAGGGGAACATGCTCCAAGCAAGCGTTAGTGCCGCGCGGTGCCGCGCCGGGAGCTGCGCGCGCCCGTTCCCTACGTCACCGCCAGCTCTCCCCGGGCTGCTCCCCGCACAGGGCCGGCTCTGTGTTTTCCTACTCCACAGCCTCAAACAATGATCCGTTCTTTAAACGGAGATGCTGAAAACATTCCAGCAAGTGTAAAACTGCTGCCCCTGCAGTCCCGGGCAGCAAAACAGCCGTAAGGACTGCTCATCCCTGGCAAGATAGTGGCCAGTTTCAGCTTTGGCAGCAGCATGCTCATTTTCCTCTAAGGTAAGCAGTATTTGCTGCTCTTCTGGCCCAGAAATCTTTGACATCCATCATATCTGATCTTTCTGATCTCTTTCAGTCAGTTTGGATATTTTCTATAGAGCTATTTTGAAATACACACTTGAATGCTCTGAGTGTTGCTTTACAGATAAGAACCCAAAGTCTAAGAAACAGCTTAGATAACAGAAGGGGTATCTCTGTATCCTCTCACAGCACTACCTCAAGCCCAATAGCTGGCTAAGGAAAAGGGGCCTGGGTGCACACACAGGGGCCCTTCTCCCCACACAGGGGGTGGGAAGGGTGCACGAAGCCCTGTGTGACACCACGGGGCCACCAAGGCTGCGGGGCCGGGGTGCACGGGTTACCTTATCCCGCAGCTCCTCGTCCAGCCGCCTGTAGTCATTATTCCAGACCAGGACGTGCAGGGGAAACTTGCTGGTGGCCCTGGAAGGGGAACTCGTCACGCAGCCCGTGGGAGGCAGGCGCCAGCCCTCGCTCATCCCCCCACCTTTATTTGGGGGGCCGGTGTCACAGGCTCCTTGTCACTCCAATCCCCACCTCAGGAGCAGCAGAGCTCACAGATCTCTCCCCCCCAGGCCGTGACACCCTGCAGGGCCTTCACCACACCCCAGACGGACGGGTGGCCCCCAGACCCACATGACTCCAACTGCTCCCCACAGCCCCACATATCTAGGGCTTCCCCCGTCCCAGCCCCACACATCTAGCGCTGTAACCCCCGCCCCATCCCTACGTGTCTAGGCCCGTTCCCCTCCCTCAGCCCCACACGTCTAGGGCCGCTCACTCCCACCTTGGCCTCCTGCCTAGATTCGCTCTCTGCTCCCTTCAGCCCCTCATGCCTAAGGCCGCCCGCCCAGCCCCACACGCCTAGGGCTGCCCCCCTCCTCCCTCAGCCCCACAGGCCTAGGGCCGCCCCCGCCCGCGCGCGCC